GCGCCGTAGAGGGTTTTTCATTCGGGTTTTTCCCTTCTGCATTTGAGCGCACAGGGGATGGAGATGGGATGGATGTAGAGGGGGGTAGAGTAATCTGGAAGGGCTTCCTGAACTCTCGCAAGAGTACCTTGAGGTGATCCCCAACGTGGATAATATCACATGCTTCGAGGACGCTCACGAGTACCTGTACCCTTACCAGTACGAGGGCGAGGAGGACCAGGCGCAGGGTGGAGTCAGCGCGGACGGGGGTAACTCTGCCGAGGCCAAATACGGCGGCTCGGCTGGAGGCGGCGGCTCGGCTGGTAACGGCGGCTCGGTCGGAGACGGCGGATCCGACTTCCTCGGACGCGTCTTCTCTGGTTCGAGTGTACTGCTGTTCGGGTGTTGGTTCGCGTCGTCATTGTGAAGGAGTTTACATAACCTGTATTGCTGTCGTGGCTGACTCTGCTTTGTGCACCACCGTCTCCCAGAGGGGAGTGTGGTGATATACAGGGGTTAGGGGGGGTTGTTGGACAGACGTCCCCAAAGAACGATGCTGGTGCAGGATATCTGGAAATACTATTTATAGATATTTCGATACATCAACTGTCTTTCACCCGTTCTCCGATACTTACTTTTCTTTTGTGACGGTTTGTCTGTTTCATCCACTATAGTCTATATTGTTACGGGCAAAAAATGATTCGAGCGAAGTCGGATCCATCACCGTTTCCAAAAAAGGATGCGACACGCTCCATTGCACTCCCTCTGATCGGATGTATAAGCAAGGTTTGGAGTATATTCTTATGACAAGCGTACACGCTGTTGTCAGCGTCCTCTGCGTATCGTCTTCCACACAAAAACCCAGGTGCTAGGATTAGCCCCACCTCCATACGCACACGTGCAACCTACGAGAAAGAACGGTTGGCAATTGTGTCCGGTATCAGGGTAGCCAAACCCCAAAGAACAACTTGGTCAAACCCCCGGCAAAAACAACGGTTGTTCAACCGGGTTCGGGACTAGGTTGTGAAACCCCCCGCAACGTCCCGACAAAAGTGTCGTTTGTTCAAGCCGACCCGGCATCAGGTTGTGAACGCCCGCACCCTCCCGAACAAAGTGACGGTTGTTCAACCGGTTTCTGCATCAGGTTGTAACACCCCCCGCAACCCTTGATAATAGGCTTGGTTGAGCAACATGCTTCGGTTTGGGTTGCGCAACCTCCGAAGACGGTCAGGTTGGGCAACCCAATTTCTGTCGATTTTACAATTTCGTATAATCCGTGCACAGCAATTCGTCCAATTCCTCTTTGTGCGATATCTTTTTTAGGAAAAATAATTGGAACGTGATACCACGATAGATAGCCGTAACCGCCTCGCCGAGATGCGCCGATAGCTGCAGAGTTTTTTTATTTTGACGATATGCAACATTTTTGACAATAATCATCCACGGTGCCCCCAAAAGCACCATATACCTTCCCCTCTTCATTCACGGAGCCCCCTGACCAACCCCCCCCATAGACCCTGCAAGACCCCCACTACTCTGTGTAGTGCGTGCTTTATTCACCACGGACACCAAATCTTTCCATTTGTGGAATAAAGCTTGATGACACCCTCGAAGACCAATACACATCACTACCGACGTTGACGAATCTCGCCATACACATGAATATACGTACGAAGTATACTAATATACACACGGACCGTGCATTTTAAATACGAAACACTCGGGGACAATCAACCAAAAGGGGGGGGGTGTACTCATAGTCGTGCATGCCGTAGTCGTTAGACCATTGACCTCGCATCCCTACAAAGCTAGGACGGAGCACGCCGGGTTCTCACCGGACCAAGCTCTCACATCACCAAGCGCGAAGCGCCGTGAGATATTCGGCGAGTCGCATGAAGGGTGCGCTGCATCCTGCTAAGGGTGTTCGGCATCTCGTGCTTACTTCCTTGCATACGGATGACAGCTGCGTATGGCTTAATTTGTTTTCTGGTCCTTACACTTCCAGAGACAGTTGTAAGCACTGTGTAACTACCTCGAGGGTGCTTGACCATTTTAACACAACGTGGTGAGATCATCCCCCTTGCGCGGAGTGAGGGTTCTCGACCCCGCACAAGATGATCTACTCGACGACCATTCATGGTTACCGCCAAAA